CTTTTAGCATATTAATGGGTGGAATTGTGTGGATGGATTCTTGGTATTAAAATTAGTATGATATGTTAAAAAAAGCGACAAAGCCCTTTCCATATCCAATAGAAATCTCTGCATAAAGCAGAGTCGATTGTACGATTCCTACTATATCATGAGCATGTGTTTATGAATCGGTATCAAATAAGGTAGACACAATTTTATGGATAACAACTTCTTTCATACTGTAAAAAGCGACGTTTCGGTATAGATCCTTATACCGTTGTCAAGCAAGGCTGAGTTGTTATCCATAAAATTGTGTCTACCTTGTCATCCGTCAACTTCAAGTAATGCCTATCAATGCCTATCAAACAATTCACTATCAAATAGTTATGATACCAGGTGTTGGCGAAAAGGTGACCGTATCCTACCCCAAGCATACCTAAAACGGATTTATATGCTATTATGTATTTGGGGGATTAAAATTGTCTGGTTCTGTAGGGGCTTGCCCTCATTTCGCCTACACCTCATTTCGCCTACAATATTTCAAATGCTTAATTGCCTCACCCCTATTATATGAATGGGCATTGTCCATCTCAGGCTGTTAACTAATCCAAGCTCTCAGTTCATTATTTTAGAGGTAACACACCACTTGACTTATGTGCAGTCAGCTGTAAGTTTGTTTTGATAAGGGTGTAGGCGAAATGAGGACAGGCCTCTGTAATGTCATTCTTTAATTATGTGCTTCAAAATCGCTTTCCCTCTCTCACAAACATTACCGAACCATTGCGAGTTTTCCTGGAATGCGCGCATTAATATTTATTACGTCACAGGGTAAGTGATGTGTCAGTCGGACAGTGACAGTAGCAAATATAGTTCCAACTGAAATCTGTTTCTTATACAGCGGCGAAGCAACATATACGCAAAACAACAATTGTATTTAATTGCCTTTCGCGGCAATCCATCGGTCTGTCCGCTAGAGTAACTGCCCTTTGTCAAAGGGAAGCTACTCTAAACGATTTTGCGAGGGCACGAGGCCTAGCCAAGCGGGATCAGTAGCCATACCTCTGCGGCTTGGAACCTTCTCCACAAATTAAAATAGTTGGATTGGGCCGAAATATATTGAATTGTTACCTTGTTTGGTTTCGTCGCTGTGTGTACATCTGACTACACTTCTTAACGTTATGACAGGACAGACCGACTGTCAACAACGTCTGACCGTGGCCGTGATCTTTGACGTCACACTCCGTCGCAGTGGTGACTCAGCATAACACCACTGCCACAGGCTAATTTGCATATCACGTGACCGGACTTTTCTCTTGTTTGTAAACAAACGCGCTTTTTCAGAAATCAGTATAGAACAGACTAATGCAAGTATTTGGGGGCGCGTTACATATTGTTTTGCATAACTATATAGATATGCTACTACAACTGCGACAGTGAGTTGCATGACAATATATATTTATGCATCAAAGTGACCGTGTCGCTAGCTCTCCGTTGGGCTTCGATGACAGCACGTGGATCCGTACAACCAATGTAAACATAGGATAACTACGCAGAAACAAGTAGATTTTTACGTATTTGCATACTTTCTCAATGAAAGTTAACCATTCTTTGACATTTGTTTATGAAAATGTGTAGACTTGTCAAACATGAAACGGATGAAAAGCATATGCAATATCTTGAATGGACTGTGAAAGATGTGACGAATCGTCACATGGCGCTGGCCTGTGGCAGAGGTACTATGCTAGCTGGCTGCCGGCCGCATGGAACTCTGGGTAGGAGAGTGGTTTGATACCAGTTATCTCAAATGGGTTTCTCACCCACAGGTGTGTAAGAAATACACACACACCTCTGTGTTTTAGCAGATCCGTGTCACATACCTCTATTCCATGAACAAGAGACGATTGAAACAAAAAAATATTGATTCCTCGTTAAACAGCTATATGACGGTTGGTACAGCTAAAATCACACACGCAAAGATATTCAATTAATTATTTTGAAATTTGTAACAGAAAACTCTCGCTCTCACATACAGTACAAAAAAGGAAGCAGTCGTTTACATATCAGCATTAAATACTTACAGAAGTGTTAATGGAAAATAAATGCAATAAATATTAGGGGTTTTAAACAATGTAAATAGGTGACGTATACATATTCTGCCTTATTTAATCTGTAAGGGGGCCCGTGAAGATCCGGGGTAGAGTAGGTCTTCAGCAACCCATTCTTGACGTAAAAGGCAACTATGCTTGTCGTAAGAGGCGACTAACGGGATCGGGTGGTCAGGCTCGCTGACTTGGTTCATGCATGTCATCGATCCCAATAGCGTTGATCGATGCTCATGATATTAATCATTGGATTGTCTGGTCCAGACTCGATTATTTACAGATCGCCGTCATATAGCTGAAATATTGCCGAGTGCGGCGTAAAACAACAAACCAAACAAAAAAACAACCATTATTAATAAATCCCGTTGTGGCTACCACAGTGTGTTTTTATACACTGGCTATCCTGGTTTAATTATTTCAGACTTAAAATTATATCATTTCCAGCCCAGTAAGGAATATCAAATATTACCTTTCACATACAGGTTTGCATAATTTGAATACCAAAACTAGTATGTACTTACACTCATTCTGTTTTGCCTGAATACAAGGTAATCCAGTGTCGTGTTTTTTATAACGAATCCATGTTATCGAGCAGTGATCCACGGCAACAGATCAGGGTGATCTCATAACACCTGTTACACCTGTATTTAACCCAGGAAAAAAACTCTCTCTCTCTCTCTCTCTCTCTCTCTCTCTCTCTCTCTCTCTCTCTCTCTCTCTCTCTCTCTCTCTCTCTCTCTCTCTCTCTCTCTCTCTCTCTCTCTCTCTCTCTCTCTCTCTCTCTCTCTCTCTCTCTCTCTCTCTCTCTCTCCAGAGTCCAGACTTAAAGATCATACATCTAAACGTACGCAGGGTTTAAAGTTTGAATACAGTGCATTATGAGAATGAAGTGTCACTTAAGATACTTTGAATTCGGTCCATATGTTCATCCTACGTTCTGGTAGATTTGCACTTATGTGACAACTTTAGATGTCATTCATACTTTAAGACAAGTATTATGTATTAAATAGTTGACTGGTTTTCTTAATAATTGAACACTTACAATCTACATGTACCACTGTATGACAATAGATATAAAATTATTTCATGTATGTGTATGTGTGTGTGTGTTTGGTGTGTATATGTGTGTGTGTGTGTGTGTGTGTACACTTGTAAGTGTGTCATACTGTATATATGCGCGTGTTTTATATACTTATAATTTCTATGCACTGTACATTTATTCTACACTATTATTATGTCATTATTCACATATTACAATGTAATAGATTGTATGTAGGAGAAGGCCTCGTACGTGTATCACTTGTGCCTAATCCATTTGATTTTCGCAATAAAATATGTTCAAATCCAAGCAGATCAATACTATGCAAGAAGAGGCAAAAGAGTAAAAAAATCAAAGCCACAAGACCTCATCATAATCATACGAAATCTCCTCTGAAAGCAGAGCCCACTGTACGATTCCGACTATCATAAGCATGTGTTTGTGAATCACAATCAAATAGGGGTGATACCAGGACCAGGTGTTCGCGAAAAGATGAGTGTATCCGGTGGCAAGTCAATTGTTCATCTGAAATGACACGGAAACGTATGGTACTAGTGGAAATAGGGAATTGCATCGGACATCATTTTGGTCACTGATGCGTCACATTTGGAAATATCCTCCACATGACTACCATAAAACTTAATAACATTTTACTAAGGCCTTGAGGGTTGAGTCGGATGATGCTCTCAGAAATCTCCGTAGAACGGAGGCCTAATGGTGCCACTTTGGTACCATACCTTTTTTAATCGAAATTTGAAATAAACTTGAAATAACGAGAAAAATAATCGAAATAACCTTTAAAAAAATCAAAATTTCGATAAAATAATTGAAATGACGAGAAAATAATAGAAGTAAGGAGAAAAAAAATCGAAATTTAAATTTTTCAAATAATCTCAAAGTAACGAGAAGATAATTGAAATAGCGAGAAATTTCGATTTGAAAAAAATAATTTATGATACCACCGTGGCATCATTAGGCTTTCGTACGATTGTACCTCAAACGTTGTGAAAGTTAGACACCAAAGGCTGGAGCTGTGTGTGTGTGCGTACAATAAAAACAATATCTGACCATGAGCTCGTGTTTGTGTCATGATCGGAAAATTACCGGAACCTGGTGACCGATTAAAAGATGTCTATTGATTAATTGGCGGAAACACCACAGGAGATGTCATGCCGCTGTCATTGTCCTATTGATTTCCTGCTTGTTTGCGCCGACACTCCGACTGTCTGTCTCCATCGTTTAATATTATAACCATCAAATCAAAGTTTGACTTTGGTATAACTTTCGAAGGTTTTGGGGATGCCTTTTTTCTTTATAACAATACTGCTCTCTGTCGCTCAGAATGTTTTTGTATAGATCTAAATGTGACGGTTTCACGGGTCTCTTTTATTTCTAGTTCTAGGGATGGTGTACGTGAAAGGTAACTGCGTGTTAGGTAGGGGGAATTTACGTTTCAAGGTTTTACATTTGTAATGAAAAATAAGAAAGATTCCAGTAGTCAACGATAAACTTTGTCATTGCCAATCCAAGCAAAAAATCCGAAGGAACAGATCAGCAAGAAGGGGAGTTCAGTTGGCACCCATGGGGATGCCTACTTCTTGCCTAAATGCCCTGTCCCCAAATCTAACATAGGCGTTATCTACGAGGAAGTCCAGCAATTAATAAAACCATGCAGGTAATGAGGTCGTGACAAAAACACTGCTCTCATCTGCCAGTAATGTTTACTGCTGTTGATCTTATCGTTTGCTTACACAACAGACTGAAAGGTCAGAACTTGCTTGCATTGCACATCTGTCATCCAATCAGTCTTGTCAGCAGTTCCTTGTTAGTGTTACATATAGTTTTGAGATTCTGTGTTATACAATTATCCTGACCTGATATATCCCGTTATTGTGTCAACAGCTTGTGTCAAACATATGTCATTTCCTTCACACTTTGTATACATAAAAACTCGACCTCTACCATCACTGGACACTGTGAAGCAACTCCCGAATGAACAAGGCAATCGTAAGTAAACACAATTTCAACGTTTCCTTTGTATGATCTAGTTAGATAATTAATTCTAATAAAGAGGTTGTTCATCCATACATTCTTATCCTTTCTTATGTTGTTAGTTCTTCAGTTTTAGTTATATTTAAATCCTGAAATGCATGGCCTTTGTTTGAAAGTTGCCACACATGCGAGGGAGACATTTCCAACGTGTGTTAGCGCGGCGATCATGTGACCTGAGAAGGCTACTGCACTCATTCCTGTGTTGATAAAACATTTTGGGAAATTTTATTTTAATGGGAATTTGATATGTTTGCCATTCTAAGAACAATCTCTTTAAAGTCAGACCCTAGTTCTCGCTACCGCTAAACAAAGACCTGAAGACTTCCCATTAGGGGTCACGTCAGAACGACCTTTCATCGGACCAACCAGTGCGTCGCTTACCAGATTATGAAAGTGACAGTCGGAATGTGATTTCTAATCATGCGATCTCGAAAACTTTAACACGGGGTATTCCGAACGATAGTTACGGGTTTAACGACTGAATCCTTACAATCTAGACAATATATTAGCCATTCCAGAATGTTTTTTGCTCAGGTTTCAAATTTGTAATCGAGAATGTGTCAAAATATGTTTCGAAGCGTAGTCGCCAAGTTGAAATTTGTGCTGTACAGCACGAGAAAGCTGCCTTCTGATTGGTCATTCCTTTGGTCGGTCAAAGTTCTCGCAAGGTCGGTCTGACGTGACCCGTAATGGGATGTCCTCAGATCTTTGTTTAGCGGTAGCGAGAACTAAGATCTGATTTAAATGAGATTGTTCTAAGAAAGAAATGATAATTTGCTGCCACTGTGTTGCTGCCTCGAATCAAAGTATTCTTAAACGTCAACGATATGTGTATGCATTAGAAGCTATTCCCTCTAAATCCCCTCTGGGTCCCCTCTGGATCCACGCATGTGGACTGGTACCCTGTCGCCAGTAACTGCACACAGTTTGTGCAGCGTGCGCAACAGAGGCAGGGGACTAGTCTACAGCGTATGCAGTGAAGAGTAGTCTCCCTTTTACTCAATGACGTCATACATTGTTTTCAGATGCAAATCTTCGCTCTCTCCGTGGTTCTGCTACTTCTTGGCGCATGCTCAGTTGAATCCGCCAGAATAGGTGAGACGTTGTGACCCCAACAAATTATTGTTTGTGTGTTGTTTAACGTAGCAATAGTCTAGCTATATGATGGCGGTCTGTAAGTAATCGAGTCTGGACCAGAAAATCAAGTGATTGATACCATGAGCATCGGCCTACGTTATTAAAAATAATTTAATTCTCTCGATCTAGAACGTGCTCTCCTCAAGTACCGTATACTAAAGAAATGTTTAATTGAAATTATAATATTATGTTTTATACAGGTGTTCGCCTTCTATTTGAAAACTTGACGACCTTGGTGAACCCGCGTTGACCAATGTTAGCACATGTTAAAGGATTTACGTCATACTTCGGTTGACCACAGTTGCGCTTCCATGTATAACTTCTGAACACTTGTTGTGCAGTCCTTTTGTTGTCACCAAAGGACGGGGTAGCGATACGTCTTCAGTTTCAATAATCAAATACCTGAGTAAGCTAATTTTTCATCTGCGTATAATTTCAGAGGCATGTGTTTTAACAAAACTAGCTAATTAATGACAGGTTGCATGGATTACAATTCTTTGAGTGAAACCTTAGAATTATGACTATATTCAACTTTTAAAACTTCCTGTAAAAACGGTATCCATTAATTCATAAACGAAGGCTGTAGCTTAACCAGGTGAAATTGGGTTTAAAGTCGCGTCCAAGATTGTTGCACTTATATAGCGACGTGCATGTACGTGTGTGGCTGCTTGTACTAGTCCGGAGTAGCCCACTGAGATACTATGCCGCAGTTTAACATGAATACCCCACTCAGACACAGCATACTTACTCCGAGCTGACCAGTCCTTGTTTTAGCACCTTAATACCGAACGCCAGACAGGGTAACAACAAGTACCATTTTAAACCTCTTTTTGTATGGCGCGGCCGGGGATCGAACCCCGGACCTTCCGCTTTCCGGGCGGACGCTCTACCACTAGACCACGGAGGCGGTCGCTGAAGTGTAAGGATGTAAAGAAATATAGTAAGATAAGGTTGTAGTTGAGTGGCGACTACTCTAACTTGTTTATCCAGAAATTGTTGTACTATATAATTTAAGCTAGGATTAATAACATACAGCGCTTACACATGGATTTTAAACAAAACGTCATGCTATTAAGAATGGTTACAATATGGTAGAAGTTAGCGATAGTTTCGTAACCTTTCATGTATAGAAATTGCATTTGATAATTATGTGAATCGGCACTCAAAAATTCTGTTAGAAAAAGGCAACGAAATCCTAAACTAATAATGCTTCTTTTGAATGAAATTAACAACCGATCAACGCTAATAATGCTTCTTTTGAATGAAATTAACAAGCGATGAACTCTAATAACGCTTCTTTTGATCATTGATGTTTTATTACAGAGAAACGTGTCACATGTGACATTCTGGCTCAGCTGAACATAATGGGCAACTCCGTTGGTAGCGCCGCCTGTGCAGCCCATTGTCTGTGGAAGGGATACAGGGGAGGCTCCTGTAACAGCCAAGATGTCTGTGTCTGTCGCAGATAGATGACACAAAACTGAAACTGCACATGCGCACCAAGGCGTAATAAAATCAAACAGTTGCATTAATGTGTCTTTTGTTCTAATTGAATGCAGTAATAGGACAATGACATTGACGGGGTAGCCCTCTCAATCCCAGGTCTACTTCTTCAAAGCGGTTCTACACCATTCTCAACATCATACGTTTACATACTACTCAAGACATTCACGTAGAAACTCACAACTTGTATCACAAATGAAAATACCAAAAGAATGCTGAATTATTACTTTTATTGTTCGCGCACATATACGCTTTATCGAGGAGGGGCGGCCGGGTAGCCTTGTGGTTAAACCTTTCGCTCGTCACGCCGAAGACCAGGGTTCGATTCCCGACATGGGTACAACGTGTGAAGCCCATTTCTGGTGTCCCCCGCCGTGATATTGCTGGAATTTTGCTAAAACCGGCGTAAAACTATACTCACTTTATCGATGAAGTCATGATTGTACGTTGGGAAGATGGTGGGCTCGGATAAGTACCCACAGATGAGTAAACCCACTCAGTCTCATTTGCTCAGTACTCAAATCTACTATCTCAAAAGCCCACGTTAGAATTCAACACTCTACAAAGGCAGAATATCCATACTCGGCAACAATGGTTTTCTTGAGGTCGGAAAGTAGGATATTCATTTTGTAGCGTGAAAACAAAGCTTTTCTGCTCTGGTCTTCTTTGTGGGTTTAAATGTTGCCTCTAAGAACATGGTAAAAGGCCATGAAATCAACCATGGGTTGTTGATTGAGAAGTTAACAACCTCACATAGCAGGAATTTAGAAGGATTCTTTTGTGGCGGACATTAGTAGATGACATGGAGGTATATCCATAAACAAACTTGAGGCAATTGAGCAAACTGTTTCGCTGTTACAGGTCAGTGAAAAAAGCAGGGGTCAGTGACCTTTGGAAAATTGACTGCCTTGAGAAACGTGCAGTGGCCAAGTACTTGTAGATTGTTGTTTGGACTAGGGACAATCCACTTTTCTATAACTAGTGTTTAAACAGTTATGCTCAACTGTGGCTCTATTAGCATATTAATGGGTTGAATTGTGTGGATGGATTCCTGGTATCAAAATTAGTATGAGATGTAAATAAAGCGACAAAGCCCTTTCCATATCCAATAGAAATCTCTGCATAAAGCAGAGTCGATTGTACGATTCCTACTATATCATGAGCATGTGTTTATGAATCGTTATCAAGTAAGGTAGACACAATTTTATGGATAACAACTTCTTTCATACTGTAAAAAGCGACGTTTCGGTATAGATCCTTATACCGTTGTCAAGCAAGACAGTTGTTATCCATAAAATTGTGTCTACCTTGTCATCCGTCAACTTCAAGTAATGCCTATCAATGCCTATCAAACAATTCACTATCAAATAGTTATGATACCAGATGTTGGCGAATAGGTGAGCGTATCCCAACTCAACCTGTAAGGGACTAATTTATTCCCAAACAATATATTTGTGAAATATCAATTATACAAATGCTGTTGTATTATATTTCCAACATATATTTTGTATTCAGCTACATGTCTTTACTTGAGTTCATGATCGAGACTTGACCAGCCAAACCAGTACTTCATACTGTAAGCAACAACTAGGACCACGTGCAACAACAAATTTACAGCGTGACATCTTTGGACTCAGTTGTACTAGAGTCAGATTTCCCGTAAGATGTTACATTAATCATTGTGATTAACACAGGGATGAAGGGTATACATTTGCACATAAGGTATATTTTAGTTTTAGTGCAGCAACTTGCCGAGTTCCAGTATCACAGCATCCAAAGGTCTTGTGATTAAATGTGGTTTAAGAATGTTCAGTGATCATAGGAGATGCTGTAGTTGTATGAACAAAGAAACAAATAACAAAAACTAAACAATTAAAAAAACAAGATAATTTTCCCTCTCTCCTAAAAGTTAAAAAAATCACATTATTTGAACCCCCTCCTCCAGAGATCCCCTCACTCGAAACCAACTGTCTTTTGAAATTTGATGTAGTCCCACTGTAGGGTAGACACCTTTTATTTAAATTCGGAACCGAGTGCTCTGAGGGTCACATGTAGTATAAATGTAACAAATATTACTTACGTTCAAGATTAAAATACTCCTTGCCTCGACTAGTCCCAAACACATAGCTGTCCAAACAAAAGTTGACAAATAACTCTCGAAACTGAGTCTGTGAAAAGCCTTAATATTTTAAAGAGGTTTCAGTAGGAAAAAGGCATATCTCTTTAAACCAATAAGAATCAAGCATTCTTCAATGTCATGGTAGAATGTGAATTGATGTAGTCATACCTGGTACCGGAGATCACCTAAAGTCTGCTCTTGAAACCTCAACACTGGCAGGCACCGTGTCAACCTCTACCCAGGAGGCCTCTGGAGGGATCCTATCCATTTTCAGGCGCTTTCCTGCAAGACTTTCTTCGCGATGTCTTTGCTCGGGTACTCCACCAAGGGTTCTCTATCACTGGCAGCGTTTGTATTCTGCTAGCGCTGCGCATCCTTCCTCCGTGACAGGGATGAGCTCTCAGGGGTGGTGTTTCTGCCTGCCTCTTCTCAAAGGATGGGAGTGAAGTGGCGTGGAGAGTGTCTCTCAGACGGCCCAATCATTGCTTGGCTTGGGGAGGTTCTGTAACCAGAGCAGCGTCCAGGGCACGAGTAAGGGAGTCCACTCTCTGTGGATGTGGGGTAGCTCTGACATCGATACGAGTCTTTCCCTCTGCCTTGATGCGCCGTCTTTGGCTGGAGTCTGATCCTGAAGTAGACCAAGGAAAGGTCTGTGTCACCGTCAACATTGTTGCAAAGACGTGTGATGAACATTTTTCGCGCTTGGTGACGTCTTGTGATGATCAGGTCCACCTGGTACCAGTGTTTGGTCCAGGGGCGTCTCCAGGACACCTTGTGCTGAGACTTGGTCTGGAAGAAGGAACTGTCGATGCAAATGTGTTGTGTGTGCACACCTTGAGAAGTCGTCCATTTCGTTCATCTTGGCAATTCCATATTGTCCCAGACAGCAGCGCCAGGAGTCAGGACCAACTCTTGCATTGACGTCGCCAAGCAGTGTGGAGCAGAGGGTGGGAGCATACACATTGTGGATGTGAAGTGTCAGGGGTGAAAAATTCTCTCTTCCACCTCGCCAAGCTCTATCATTCCGGGCAGTGACATTAAAGCCGACGCATGCTCTCTGGTTTTATCGGTAACCTTTCCCTGCTACAAGAACATGTAGTTTCTCTCACACAGAGTACCAGGCGCGTTGCCTGCAACGATGTCCACTTGCAGTCTTCGAGTTCATTGTTGATGACAGAGGTCTTGCGTACATCACTGAAAACTGGACCGTCCACCAACAGTCCGATCGTTAGGGTGCAAACATTCCAGAATCGCAACCTAACAGCTGGCTTCTTGAGTTTCTTCCTTTCTTTCTTTGTTCTCTGTTTCCCTGTCAAAGGTGAGGTACAATGGGGTCGCGATCAAGATGGTTGACTTCTAAATCGACGACCATGCACGTGGGTTTGTGGCTTCTTGTACTAGTCCGGACTTATGCCTGCGTCATTGTGATAGCCCACCCAAAAACCATGCTTCAGTTTTACATGTATACCCCACCCACACAGTATGCTGACTCTGACTCTGAGCCGACCAGTCCATGTTTTATCTCCTTGATGTGGAGTGCGAGAGAGAGTAATAAGAGGACCATCTTTGACGTCTTTTGGTATGATAAAGGAAAGTAACATTAACGCTTCACATTACAAAAAATTGTTGATCTTTATACAGAATGTCTACGAAGAAAGCCATGTAATGTGTGCGCAGGTAACCGCCATTACTACAATGCTAGATGTTGATGTCCCCAAGTGTGATGTCAAAAAGGGTCTGTCCCTTTCCTTTCCAACCCCTTCTTATTACAATCAAATCTGTACTGTGATTTCATCTGCCATTATCTGCGCGAGTTGCGTCCTGGAGGTGTGCCAGAAACCTATGATCGTGGGTTCGTTCTGATTATTTCTATTGGTTTGTCAGCACCATACCCGTGCTCCTGGGTTCCCCTAAATGGAAAACGTCAAAGACCTGCATCACTTCCCTCTCATGCCAAGTTGAGACGTGTGAAATGACTGAAATACTGTTCAAAGGAGTATTAAAGCAAACGCACTCCATTTCAATTACTTGTTTGTAACATAACGGTCAGTCAAACTAAGGATAAGATATATATAGCTGAACAACTTCTTTATTACAATTAGGAGAGACGTTTCGGTGTAGGTTCTAACACTGCTATCAAGCTAGTGAATATGTAAATGCCTCTCAAAGAAGTTATAACGTTCAGTCGGTTGCAAATTCAACTCCATTTAAAGCGCCTAGCAGTGGAGAGCTGTAACTGGTAGCAGCGATAGTACAGAGAGCTTGCAGTCATATCAGGGTTTCTTCAACTGGTGAATGAAGGAGCAGAGCAAGTAGCAGCACGAAAACGTCATTGCAAAGAATAAAGAAGTGGTTATCCGCAAAGAAATAAAAAGATATTGGATGAAGTGCCGTTTATTGAACATCAAAGACTTCATTTGTGGGACTATTGCATTTGTTGTAGAGCTCTTTCAGTCCAAACTGAAGAGTGTCGGACCCTGGCCATATCAACTATAGATACTCTCACACTAACAACTACGAGGGCTGGTCAAAAAGTTCGAAGCCTGACTAACTTTCAACTATGGTTACTAAGTAAACTAGTCAATGCAGTACTTTGTTTGTGTAGTTCATAGTTCAAGTGTATTTGGTGCCAAAGTTTCTAAATTCTGATCTTACGGAAACAAGAAGTGACATTGCCAGAGAAAATGTAGAACTAATTGAGGAGGATTTCGTCAAACTCAAACAGAGATTATAATGGGTGATGAAACATTGGTCTACCACTATGACCCCGAGTCAAAACGTCAATCCTTGGAATGGCACCATTCCACTTCCCCGGGACAAAAGAAATTCAAGTCTTCAAGATCAGTGAAGAAAGTTTTGGCTACTGTATTCTGGGATGCAAAGGGTGTGATCCTTGTTGATTACTTAGAAAGTCCAAAGACGATTACCGGTGCCAACTATATGCTGATTTTCATCATCGCTTAAGAAAGAAAAGTGGCGAGGAATGCTGACTGCTTGAGTTCTACTACTTAATCACAATGCCTTTTCTCATACCTCTCGACTTGCTGTGCGACATTGTGGGTTCTAAGAGCTTCCTCACCCTCCATACTCGCCAGACCTGGCACCAAGTGATTTTTCCCCACCTGTTTCCTAACTGAAAGAACATCTTCGTGGAAAGCGCAATAACGACACCGATGACCTCAATGCTGCCGTGATTTTTTTTTTCTGGGTGGCTTCAGAAAACTTTCTCACTGGAATTGAAAAGCTTCACTATACTAGTGTATTGAAAAGCAGGGAAATTATGTTGAAAAATAAAATAAAAATAATTGTTGGTTTTGTTTATTAGGCTTAAAACCTTTTGACCAGACCCCGTACCATCTTCCTCCTTCCATGACCACTAAATAGTGAAATCACTTGACATTGATGCCTATAGATCTGTAGAATAGTGACAATGTTTATTGTTGTTGCAGTGATAGATCAGACCAGCCAAAAAAGGGCATCTTTCAGTCCAACGTAACCGCCATAACTTGGTGTACAAACTGTTTTGTCCAAAATTCAATGCAGTTCGTCGAAATTGTTGAAAAGAAAATTAACTTCAAAATGAACTATTAGTGAATGAAAAACAAACAAGTTTTATCTTCGGAGAACTTTGAGTTGGGTGTTTGTTCATTACACCCCTGTGTTCATAACCCAAACCAATATTTGGAGTAATAGTCGTAAACAGCAAACAACATTAGTGTCAGCAGTCGTATCCGTTTGTATATGGAAAACGTCTTCATCCTCCAAACAGCTGTCAATACATGGGTTACATCTTCCTGGGGCAACACTTGAATGTAAAACAGTCTGCCGTAAACAAATCTGTGAAATGGAATTATACTGATGGAAACGAATGAGGGATAGACAAAAATTATCGTGAAATAGGCTTTACTGTCAATAGCGAGCATTCAAACACGTCAGAATTATATGTTGAGACAAGGCTGGGAACCCATGACAGCATATTATTTTACTGTGTCTAAAACTAAGTTTCCATCAGAATCTATTGACAAGATTGCCATACATCATACAATTTGAGCTTAAAAGCAGACAAAAGTGTGTTTTGAATAACATAAATCAAACTTTCTCAGTGACCTGGGGTTAGAGTCTCCATTGGTTAGTTAGGTTTAATGGTTCTTTGAACATTATTTCAGTCATATCGATGTCGGCTTGATGTGGGAGGAGAGCCAGAAGTGATGCAGGTCCCAGACCTTTACCACTTTAGTGAAACAACTGAGCATAGGCATGGTGTTTGAAAACCAAGAAACATTATCAGGGCGTACTGTAATTCGAACCCACGGGCAGTTTTCAGGCACACCCAAGGGATGCAACTCTGCACAGCAACTCGCGCCACTTTAGACTGGGCCACCGCTGACCCTCTCTTTAAACAAAGACCTGCATATATACATGAAGTTGAGGTGAAATGGGGTTTAACGTTGCGTCCAAGATTATTGCACTGATATAGCGACGTGCATGTACGTGTGTGTGTTTGTGTGGCTGCTTGTACTAGTCCGGACTGATGCCGATTTATAGTGCTAGCTCACTGATATACCATGCCGCAGTTTAACATGAATACCCCACTCAGACACAGTATACTGACTCCGAGCCGACCAGTCCTTGTTTTAGCCCCTTAATGACGACGCCAGACAGGGTAACAACAAGTACCATCTTTTGACGTCTTTTGGTATGACGCGGCCGGGGATTGAACCCTGGACCTTCCGCTCTACCACTAGACCACGGAGGCGGTCATATATACATGAAAGTTCAACTTACAAAGATGAAGACAGACATCTGTATCAGCATCTCTTGCTTTATTTCACCAGAGACAATGCTGCACAGTCACAACTGTCACGAAATTTACTGAATAAAAATACTCTATAAATTAAGTCACAGGTTCATCTCAAAATGAAACAATAATCACAAACTTTCAACAGCTGAACATCACACATGACAGTCATTTATGTTGGATCAAACTGCTCTGTTGATTGGATGTATAATTTTCCCATGATTTGTGACTAGCACAATGGCTATCCAGTTTCATCATTACATCATAATCCTCGAGAAACAAGTCCTTTATCATGTTAATGCACTTTGTGAACTTTAACAAAGCTTGGTCCATCATATCAGACCTGATTTGCAGCTATGAGTGGGTGAGTTTCACACCACTTTTAGCAATATTACTGTATTACAGCAATATCACACAGGACACTAGAAATGGACTTCACACTTTGTATCGATGTGGGAAATTGAACCTGGGCTTTCTCCTTCCGCGTGAGGAGAAAATGCTTAAACCACTAGGCTACACTGGTTGACACAGGTTTCTGAGTGAGTGAGTGGGCGAGTTGGGTTTAACGCCGCTTTTAACAGTATTCCAGTTATATTGCGGCATGTCAGCTTAATGTGGGAGGAAAGCCTGATGTGATGCAGGTCTCAGACGTTTACCACTTCGGTGAAACCCACGAGCACGTGTATGGTGCTGACAAACCTAGAAACATAATCGGGGCGAACCGGGATTCAAACCCAATATCATTGGTTTCTGGCGTGTCCAAGGGATGCAACTCTGCACAGCGAATGGCGGCGCCTTAGACGACTGGGCCACCCGTGCTGAAATAAAGGGAGTACCTATCCCATCCCTGTCATGACAAAGTGTACTACAATACTCCATCAATATTCTTCTACATAAATCTCAAGTCTTAGCTGTGTCATGGATATTGTGCAGCAGCTCCTGAAAATGATGGTCATGGTATTAGACAAGAGTGAGTGAGTGAATGCTGTTTATCGCCAGTCAATATTACAGCTAAATAACAACAACATGACAATATCAACAATATGGACCAGGCAAACTAGTGATTGAAAGTGTGAGCAAATGATCAATGTCATTGAGGTAGCACTAAGTAACCGTCTGACCACCCAGTCTACTCATCTGTAACAACAAGCGTGAAGTACTGGGATTCGAGTCCTTTGTCCCAGGACGACCAGGAGCTACTGCTGTAAGCTGTGTAGTTTGAAATGATGACCAGTACAAGAGCCATATGAGGTTTGTTGTTGCGGTTTCCCTGGGAGTGTGTGGACCTATTTGGAACGGTATGTACACCACCACTGACACAAACATATGAAACAGAAATCCTAAATTGTTCATATTATCCTCTAATTTATTGTATCCAGACCCACCAAGATACTCCACAAAATCATGACACAAGCTTCTAACTTAGGAATGTGGTATTATCCTGATTACTGATAGATAAAAGATTTCTCTGTAGATTTCAGGACTGAAAACTTCAGGGATTGAGTAAGTTAGGTTTAATGCCGCTTTGAACAGTATTCCAGTTATATCACAGTGTGGCGGCTTAATGTGGGAGGAAAGCCTGAAGCGATGCAGGTCTCAGACCTTTACCACTTTGGTGAAACCCATGAAAATGGGAATGGCAGTGGGAAACCTAGAAAAATTATCAGGGTGAACCGGGATTTGAACCTATGATCACAGGTTTCTGGTATGCCCAAGGGATGCAACTCTGCACAGAAAATCATGGCGCCTCAAATTATTGGGCTAACCAGCCTCCACTGGCAACGTAAAACTCCCATGTCATTGCATAACGAGATGAAAACTTTACTGTTATGTTTCTTATGAGTCGGTGCTCCAGATAAGCTGTTATCTAAACTGAGGCACTTTGAAAATGCATATTCGATTTTTTGTAATATTTAGCAATACGGCTACAAAAATCAAATTTAGTCCTGGATATTTAGGTAGAGATAAGCAAACACAACTATGTCATTGTAGGGGTTCAAATCTCATTTGATGTGTTTAGAGAAGGACATGAGCACACAAAAAAATCTTTTCTGATTTTGAGTAGAAGCTGAATTACGCATTCTCATTTCAGGACATGTAAAATATTCAAAATTAGTCACGATGATTAAATTCACACTTTGGCTAGCTACATAAAAATATGCCAAATAGGATAACAAAACTGAATAATTTTCAGACAAGCAGCAATTTCTAACCTTGAAATGTACATAGTAAGTGCAATAACAGAAAATCACAGGTATATCGCCAGTACCATGAAGCATGGCTCTCCAGATTGGTGGAACTCCTGTGGTCATAGCAACATCACATTAAGTGTTGGCATGTTGAAACAAAGGTTTGGAACAGCTCCAAAAATTATTTCCTTTTTTACCCAAATATAAGTAATTTCTGGTTTGAACAGAGTTCAGAAAATGTTGTTTTATTCTTCAAGTTCTTAATCAAAATACATATCAGCCTTCTTCATAATCCTGAAATCTTTGGCATATTTCTTCTATAACGATAATATGAAGGGACATATTAATCTTCATTTAACAAGACACATGGTTACATAAATATGAAATACATGATGACAAAAGTAGGCTTGATCATGGATAATGTATACAAAGCATGAAAACATGAAAAATGTATGATAAATATCTGATGATCTTATATATACAACATTTTCCACACGGGTCATCTGTTCAGGAGAACCTGTATCTGAGGTCTAATAAAAAATACCATTCTGATTACACAAAATTTATAAAAAGGGTAGGCAGGCTTTTTTCACTTCTGTTTCTTACATTTTGTAAAGTTTAGCAGTGTTTGGAATACATTTCCATGAGTGTTCTCTGTTCACCATGTTGTTTGATATAAGATCTTACTCGCTACTCGCTAAGATCAGAGATCATCCCATTACAAGTCATGCAGAACTACCTTTCGTCCGACCAGTCAGAGTGTCGCTTACCAGCTCAGGAAAGTGACAGTCGGAATGTGTTTTCTGATCAGGCAACTTCAAAAAGGTTAACATGGGTACTCCGAACAACAGTTTCGGTGTGTACAACTGATTCCGTCAAAATCATTGTCTCTTGCTAACTGGGATAAACATTTGAACGGAAGAGACGTTGCATAGCCCATGGAAGTACTGTCATACAATCTAGGCGATCTCTTAGACATTCCAGAAGGTTCCATAGTTCAGTTTCATCGAGAACTTTGTCAATATATTTTTCAAAGTGTGGTCTTGAGTGGAAGTCGCCAGTTTGAAATGATTGCCATATAGCTTGAGAAAACTGCTTTCTGACTGGCGTATGTCGACTACTTGTTAGTCATATCATTGGTTGGTCCAAGTTCGAAAAAGGTCGTTCTGACACGACGTGTAATGCGGTAGCGAGAACAAAGATATGATTTTAAAGAGATTGGTTTGATCGGAAACAGGGAATACCATTGAAAAAGAGTCAGTACCTTAAATTAGGGTCAGTTGGGTAATTGGAACCACATCACCCTTTTAAGTCTTATACCAACTTGACATAGCCTAGAAAGGAGACCAACATGTATGCACCCTTCTCGGACACGTTGATGTTGGACCACAAGAAAACAATTTCTTCAAAATCAAGTTTGTATAACAAAGAAAAATTGCTGAAAGGCAAGAAGTTATTGTTTGCTGTGTTGACCCTAAAATTAAGAAATGGTTAAAGAAATCCAAAAAGCACAGAACATGTATTCTTATCCTGCTGAATGAAAACATTCACCATACACAAATAGTTTACCATGGTTACAAAAGCTAAACTAACACTGCACGCATGCAATATCATCAGATAACTTCTTGAACAAAAACAAAACTCTGAATCTTTTTCATTTAAGTTCTTCCCTTCCGTCCACAGGGTTTCAGATATCTGTCCATTCTCTGGGCCATTGACTTACTGTCTTTTCAAAATGTAACAATCTAATTCCTCATACCCTGAACATTAAATGATTTATACAGTTGCCAAGTGTTACTGTCACTATGGTTACCAGAACAATACTCATTACCAGCATGCGTTTTAAGAAAGTACCATAACCAGAACATTTTATATCGCAACATGTCATTTGTTGTATACAGAAAAGGGAGGGAAAGAGTGAGTATGGTTTTAAGCCGCTTTTAGCAATATTCCAGCAATATCGCAGCGGGGGTTCAGAAAAGGGCTTCGCACTGTGCCCATGTGAAGAATCAAACCCGGGTCTTCAGTGTGACGAGGGAACGCTATAACCACTAGGCTACCTCACCGTCCCTTACAGAAATGGAGACAGGAATTAACCTTGAAGGTCTATTAATACTGAGCACTAGCCTGAAAAATAACATTTGACACTAATCATCACACCAAAGTCTGGAAATCATAGTCCTGGGGACTAGATCCAACTGTTAACACCAGGCAAGTATGTTCTGGCTGGTGCTAACAGTAGTAACCATGGTTACACTGGTAGTTTCTGTCCTACAAATACTATCCAGGCTTATACATTTATATACTGCAGGTATCCAGGTACTAGAATCTGCTCAACTGCAGTTTTATTTGTTCCCATTCCATGTACAAAACTGACGAGGAATTTATCTTTCCCTACACCTGGCAATTGGTTACCATGGTTACACTGGTAGTTTCTGTCCTACAAATACTATCAAGGCTTATACATTTATATACTGCAGGTATCCAGGTACTAGAATCTGCTCAACTGCAGTTTTATTTGTTCCCATTCCATGTATTTCATGTACAAAACTGACGAGGAATTTATCTTTCCCTACACCTGGCAATTGTACACTGCATCAACAATTCATCTCCACATATATATATAATTTGTCCAAACTAATGGATTCCATGAGAAATGAAAATCATATACACTATACACTTTGATACCAATGAAATGAAGGCATACAAGATAGCCTGGCTATCATGACGCAGTGTTTGAAATTAAGTGAGGTCCTGGGGTCCTAGAGGTCTTTCCCTGTGGTATTTGAATCTAGGGACCCAATGGTTATGACAAGGACCCCTTGACGTTCATGTTAATTTCGAACACTGACACATGTTTCTATGAACTATCTTCCTCATCCTCATCATGTAGCTCAGAGGTATCGGCTTTCTCATGAAGGAGAACATACTCCCTTGTGCTGAAACCAAATTTCAGCACATCCTTCTCCAAAAGTTCTACATATCTTTGTGCCTCTATTTGTTTATTGTTGACAAAAGTACCATTGGCAGAGCCCAGATCTATCACATATGGCTTCACCTGTCTGCACATGGCTCCGTTGTCACGCCGACCTTCAACAAGTCGGAACTGAAGAGCTGCATGTTGTTTTGAACATGAGGGGTGGTCGACTGGTATATCCGCCACTCGTCTGTCTCTTCCTAGTAGGAAAGCACTTTGTCTGTGGAGATGCAACATGGGAAGGGCTTGGTCTCCTTTAAAGGGGTACAATCTCCATTTTCGACGAGGCTTCCTGGCCTCGGGTGGTTCATTATATTTTATTACAACACCCCTGTATGTGTTTGTATCTTCAGCCAACTTTCCAGACACTTCAAAGTTGGGTTTCTCCTTTTCCTTGGGCTCCGTCTTCACAGGTGGCTCTGGTCCAAGATTGCGACCTTGTCCAAACTGAAACTGATCATCGTCATTATTTTCTCTTTCCCGTTGTCTTCGTGCTTTTCGTCTGCGATCGTCATTCCGTTCGCGCTCTCGTCTCTGATTTCTTAAGTCATCATCTGGCTCCTGTTTGATTTTCTTATGTGGATCATACTTATCAGGCCGGTGTCTTCTGTGGTCATTTCTGTCACGTTCATTTCTTGCATCTCGCCTATCATCTTCATCACTGTCACTATGACGCTTGTGCTTTTTGTGTTTCTTGTGTTTCCCCTGAAACAGAAAGAAACATACACATAAATATGAATCAACTGCATTGAACAACATATTCAACATTTGACCCTGACTGAAAAGGGTGAATTATGGTCAGCAACATAAATTAGGGTGTCTGGTTATCACTTTTGCTTTTTGGCCAAAACTATAATTCTTGCTAATTATCATGCTAATATGAAGCGATTAATTGAAAGTCATTTCGATAATCAAAGTAGTAAAGGCTTAATCTCCATAATCATGATTTTTTTTCCTGAAAGGTTTTGATCATGTTGATAAGTCCATAAGAGATCTAAGCTCTGACAAATGTTTGTTTGTTTGTTTAAGGCTGCACTCCAATATTCCAGCTTTATGATGGCGGTCTGTAAATAATCAAGTCTGGACCCGACATCTTGAGCATCGATCCACGCAGCTAGATAACGATGATACGCATCAACCAAGTCACCGAGCCAGACCACCCAAACCCGTTTGTCGCTCTTATGACAAGCAAAAGCTATGGTTTGCTGAAGACATATTCTCTATCCGGATCTTCATGGGTCACCTACGAATGAACAGACATGTTCTTTCCATATACTCTTAGTCTTTGTTTTCAATAGGCTATTTCCCAGGTCCATAAAGACTAACAGTTGTCTGCTTTGACCAATTCAGATGGTCCACTTTGGGCCTGCTACATTTTCACTGGTATCCAAATATATATAGGCCTATTAACAATATATTTGACACATGCATTCATGGCTCAGACTCTTTAATATTTCCAACATTAGATATTTGTTAAGGCATGTGCAATGCAAGCTGTTGACTGCATAACATATATGACATCAGATTACAGGATAGTATTGATTTATATTGCACTGTCTCCACTGCTTGTCGACATTGAGATGAAATATTACTATATGTAGCTGTAACAGGAGAACTGGATTCCCCAGGCACACTTCAGATATCAATTAGGGTTACGCAGAGGATCTAACATGCTTTGCCTTCTTGAAGCTTAGCTAGGCTAATCAGTTAATCTAATAAACCAATACCTTGCCATGGGCAAAATATGGAATAACTAGTGCTCGTTTACTGCTGTAACAGATGACTAACATACTCCTGCTATCACAATCAAAACCACAACTAAATACACTTTTTCACAGATATAGACCTACACTACTATTACTTGAAGCATTTTTTCAGGAATAAATTATGTCACAAAGTCTAATTCTTTTGTACTATTGACAGTGATCTTTGAACAACTTAATCATTTTTTGTTCATTTTACATGAGGCCTGAAATCTTTTAGAAATTGAAATAGATTAAAGCCATATTGATAACATTAATACTAGGGCTGGGACAGGTAACATGGGTTGGGTGGGTACAGAATAGGGCACAGGTTGCCATAGGACTAAGTAGACCCGTGGTTAATCATGTGATATATTGTTTTTTATACACTTATCTAAACATAATTTTCGCAAGGGTCCAGCAAAACAGACCGATGACTATCTGGGTTAGAATAGGTCTTCAGCATGTTCAGCAAACCATGCTTGCTGTATGAGGTGACTATGTTTGTCCTAAGAGGTGACTAACAAGATCGGGTCGTAAGCCTCACTGACTTAATTGATGTATGTCATCGTATTTTTAATGTGTAGATCTATGCTCATGATGTCAATCACTGAATTGTCTGGTCCAGACTCGATATATTATTTACAGATGGCCGTCATACAGCTGGAATATAGCTGACTACGGGGTAAACAACAAACAAACATCAAGTAAAACAACTCCCAATGTTGACACAGATCTACATCGGGTACCCGCGTAGGGTCAGGTAACACTAACAGTGTGTCGAGTATCCGTTAGTACCTCGTCCCAGCCCTAATTAATACCCATAAAACCTTTGGCCAATTTCACTAAGTTTAATCAAATATTGATCCTAATTTTACATTTTTAGTGTCAACATTGTTTCATACAAGTAAACAAATGGTAAAGACATAATTAATTGTCTTACTCGGTTTTCACGGGGACTTTGCGATCTTGACCTATGTTTCTTTCTTTTTCTTCGTTCATATTCAACCCTTTCGTCTTCAGATGAACTATCAGACATGACAAGAGACACACCAAACGTTTAAATATCGCAAATTTCTGAAGCACTTGTTTTGAAACCGGATGTGACATTCCTACGCCATCTATCGGGGAAGGATGTTAAGAAAAAACGAAATATGATTCAAAATATTTCAAAATTCTCCCACTTTAGAAAGTATTCAACAGCACTGTGTCTACTCGTTACTATATACAACATAACACCAAATAAACCTGCGCGTATACATATATGTATGAAAATATTACACGAGTCCCCATTATTTGAAAATACCTAAAACGAATTATGAATGAAACAAAGGGACACAACTCAGTGTAAGAGGCGGGGCACCAGAACAGATCTAAGCACATGATGGAGAAGGGACATTATAAAACAGTCGTTCAGGGAGAGGCATCCGAGTCTGACGATGAAGACATGGTACTTAAATATATGCTAGAAATGTACTTTATTCAAACAATGATTACTTGACAGATGAGAAGTTACCTGATAGTTACAGGATATTCTTTCTAAAGTGGAAACTCACGTTTTGTTTATTTGTGTGTTTGTTTGTTGTTTAACGCCGCACTCAGCAATATGACGGCGGTATGTAAATAATCGAGTCTGGACAAGACGATCCAGTGATTGACATCATAGGCTTTGATCCACGCAATCCACGCATTTCATAGGAAATGAATGTTTATATATACTTCATACCTTTAAATTGTCTCTTTACATCTTATCCAGCAATTAGAATCAGCATCGCTTGGAAAATTCCGGGTGTTCAGGTTCTTGGTACAGGTACAGTGCCGTAGCCAGCTACTCCCCCCCCCCACCCCCCCCTAGATTTTTTTTATGGAAAACAGTTTTATTTTAATCAAGTTGGGGACAAGAGATACTTGTTCAAATATTTGCCCCCCTGTCAAATTAAGTTAACTACAGCCTTGAGGTACCTCTGGCTATGTACGCGATAGTGCTGAGATGGGTAACTCGGGTACTTGGGTCGGGTGGGTCCTGAATAGGCATGGTAGGAATGAACCGATATGGTGAGAACAGATGTCGAACTCGTGGGTACGCATGAATGACATGGAATTTAATCATTCGTCTGTGATTTTTGTGACAGAAAAGCGTGTTAGGGAACACTGTAAGGATTGTATGGATAATTGTAAGGTACAAGGGCATTATAAGCATGGCTAGTGACGACACAAGGGTGAGTTCGCTTTGAATCAGTACTGAATAAATGTCGCGTGTAAAAGTGGCTTGTGTGAATGCTCCAGGACAGTTTCCAGTAGCCAATATATTCGACACTAAATCATTTCATCCTTTTTTTTCGCGACGTTTTGTGTGAAGAATATTAGGAGCAGCTATAGAATCAATAATAGCCTCTGAACCGGTACCTAACCCTAATGATCGTAATGAGGATCCAAGGGCTAAGGATAGAGTTTGGGGTAACCTTCCCTAACACTGGTGACATTTGGATGTGTTCAGAGCCAATATAATATTACCTAATAAACTGCATTCCTGTGCATAATTATAAAAATTAATGAATTGTTAAGAATAATATATGTATATCAGTTCCCATTTATCATCATTTTAGCCACTTGAATGACGAAAAAACAAAATTAAAAATATATTGAAAAAAAAGTGCTTTCGTAAACTAGCGCTTGCTATAAAATGCGCCGCAGCAAGCAATATTTAGTAAACAAATATTCAAAACTCTCAACATCGCTGGGCATATTCAATGAAATTGCACATAGAGATGATAGATCACTGGGAGAAGCTTATGCACACTCAATGACTCCCTGACATCACAGGGCATTGTTTCAGCGGTGTGACTGGCAACAAAATACTACAAATTACGTCATAGGGTATTGTCATATATTTGATAAGTTTGTGGTACTGTATTCTAAAGGTAGGCCGAATCAGCATTGCATGTGAAATTCCTGGTGTTTAGGTTCTTGGCACAGGTACCCCTGGCTATGTACACGATAGGGCTGGGATGGGTAACTTGGGTACTTGGGTCAGGTGGGTACTGAGTAGATAGGAACCGGGTACCCTCATGATAACCCAGCCCCTTGGTTCCTCACGTGATGTATTGTATAATGACAACAATTCACTATAAGTCCATGGTTACAGTGCAAGTTACTAATGTTCGCATTTCTTTTTGACTATGCACTCGTTTGTTCTGACTTTTATGTGTGCATGTTATTATGTTTTCATGTTTATTGCTCAGTGTCCCCTGCTGGTGTTTTGTTCTAGATGCCAGATGCCATTCCCCAGGGAACAGTTATATCTGGGGAGGCATCAGAATCAGAGGAAGAGGTGGACACCAGTCTTCAGGGGAGTCAGGAGTTACCTGCCTTGAAAGGTGAGTCAGGAGTTACCTGCCTTGAAAGGTGAGTCAGGAGTTACCTGCCTTGAAATGTAGCACTCTGGTCCACTCAGCTAATTCTGATAAATAATATCTCCCGCAGCAATAGCGAAGTGGTTACTGTGAGCTCGGGCAGCAACGGGGAAGTGATATACTGTGAATTCACTGTAAACCATGTAATGCCATGTCCCGTTGCATATGGTAGGAGCTGTGAAGATCCGGGTTAGAGTAGGTCTCCAGCAAACCATACTTGCTGTAAGAGGCAACTATGCTTGTTGTAAGAGGTGACTAACATGATCGGGCTGGTCAGGCTCCCTGACTTGGTTGATGCATGTCATCGTATCCAAATTGTGTAGATCGAAGCTCATGATTTCAATCACTGGATTGTCTGGTCCAGACTTGATTATTTACAGGCCGCGGTCATATAGTTGGAATATTGCTGAATGCAGCATTAATCAAATACAACAACAACAAAAAAAGCATATGATGATAAAAATGATGGTCACATAATGTTTATGGCTGCAGCTGGGTTGTGCACTAAACAAGCTGCAATATGGATTTCAACCACTGATGGGAGCAGAAACATATTTATTGTGTATAAACACACTTCCTTTTCCTGATGAGGGTCAAAATGTAGGTCCACAGTATCCCATGCTTGCTATAAGAGCATCAGTCCACAGCCCTGTGTGGATTCCAGGTCAGACTAGGTCCACAGTATCCCATGCTTGCTATAAGAGCATCAGTCCACAGCCCTGTGTGGATTCCATGTCAGACTAGGTCCACAGTATCCCATGCTTGCTATAAGGTCATCCGTCCACAGCCCTGTGTGGATTCCAGGTCAGACTAGGTCCACAGTATCCCATGCTTGCTATAAGGTCATCCGTCCACAGCCCTGTGTGGATTCCAGGTCCGACTAGGTCCACAGTATCCCATGCTTGCTATAAGAGCATCAGTCCACAGCCCTTTTCGGATTCCAGGTCAGACTAGGTCCACAGTATCCCATGCTTGCTATAAGGTCATCCGTCCACAGCCCTGTGTGGATTCCAGGTCCGACTAGGTCCACAGTATCCCATGCTTGCTATAAGAGCATCCGTCCACAACCCTGTGTGGATTCCAGGTCAGACTAGGTCCACAGTATCCCATGCTTGTTATAAGGTCATCTGTCCACAACCCTGTGTGGATTCCAGGTGAGACTGTAGGCCCACAGTATCCCATGCTTGCTATAAGAGCATCCGTCCACTGCCCTGTGTGGATTCCAGGTGAGACTGTAGGTCCACAGTATCCCATGCTCGCTATAAGAGCATCCGTCCACTGCCCTGTGTGGATTCCAGGTCAGACTGTAGGCCCACAGTATCCCATGCTTGCTATAAGAGCATCCGTCCACAACCCTGTGTGGATTCCAGGTGAGACTGTAGGCCCACAGTATCCCATGCTTGTTATAAGAGCATCCATCCAATGCCCTGTGTGGATTCCAGGTCAGACTGTAGGCCCACAGTATCCACAGCCCTGAATCATATTTATCAGGGGAGCCAACTTAAAAAGGTGGTCACATGGTCAGCCTTGGCTGATTGGGTGTTATTCTGATGACTTGGATTGTTTCTCATGGTTAATGGCAGTTGTTTAGCTGGTCCAAATTAATTTATTTGAAATAACTTTCGGTATGTACATGTACCTTTTTATCTCCCAACGAGCTCCTAAACAGTTAAATATTTCTTCTGAAACTTGCTATGCAGATCAGTCTAATGGTACCTTTTGATGATTTATAATACTGAAAAATCCCGAACGACATTATTTTTTACTTCACTTCACTGAAGTAGCCACACTCCATTTCCCAAATGCACCAGATCCGGGGAATATGTCATCTCCTTGATGACTCTTGTTTTGGTAGTGGTAACCACGGTTACATACATGTTCAATTTAAGTCTGCAAGGTGACAAGTGGTTCCACTACCAGCCAGACTATGAAACAGATTTCATTTATCAGTTGACAGAAATCGAGGGGAGGACCTCCAAGGCAGTGACCCAACCCAGCTTCCGATCCTCACCACAACCCGCATGGTGACAAGCAAACCAAAATATGACACGTAAGACACATGGACTTGCTTGAGCTGCTATTAGTTAATTGTGTATTTAGTGCCCCATGGGGATATCGGGTCAGAATAAGCGCAGTCGTCTAAGGCACATTTTTGTGTGCAGAGTTGCATCCCTTGAACACGCTAGAAACCTGTGATTGTGGGTTTGAATCCAGGTTGGTTCCGATTATGTTTCTATACACCTAGAAATTAATTACACACACCCTGGTTTTGAGACCATATCTGTACAACAACAAGGCATCATTCATGTCACATCTAAGCTGTGGTGGACAATTTTAAAAAATGAGACCTTTGATGAATGAAAACACAATGAATGATGCAAATGTTCAATATTTCATTTGCAGTAAGAACACAGTTGTGATAGTACTGTTACTGAGAATAATTGATAACCACGAAAACAATGGATCTGGGAAGTTCCATGATCAGGTATGAGCGACCATAACTGTCCAAAAATGTCCTTTGTTTTCTTACAAAGATAATCACAATATTGAAAATCAGTAGTGAGTGTAATAGCGCTGTGTTTGGATGACAGATTCTAACCTTCTCCTCATTCTTCGATTGGGTCTTCTGAAATGGCCAAGAGGTACCTGCTGCCCTCTCAATGCAAAGCAGCCTCTAGGGCTGCCACATTCTGTACTGGTGGATCCATTGCCAGCAGCAGACATCCAAGAATATCCCAAGCATGTTACAATGGATTCGAATCTGGACTCACAGCAGACCAAGGCAAAGCAAAGTGTCAATAGCGTGTCCTTGCATAAATGTAGTCACAGCACGAAAACAGTGGGTCTATCATTGTTGTCCATAAACACAGGTCGAGTGGCAAGTGCATGATTGTCAGAATGTGGCAGCAGGATTGATGATGTCCTGGATGTAACGATCGCCCTTGAGATTGCCTCGTACTGTTACCATGGCCAGTTTAAGGTCGTGAGATATTGCTCTCTACACCATGACACAGCCTCCGCCATACGGGACTGTTGGTACAATGCACAGTGTTTCTGTGTCTCCAAACCCGCATTCACCCATTTGTGACGTGCAGCAAGAATCTGCTTTCATCAGACCAATGGATCCAACACGTCCTCAGATTCCAATGACGTCGAGCCATACACCGAGCCAATCAAAGTTTCTGATATGAGCAGTTAAACAAGGAACGTGTGATGACTCTTCGTGACTTCAACCCAAATGATTTTAGCTGGTTTCAGACAGTTCTGGTTGACATGCCTGCAGGGAAGCCATTGTGCTTTCAGAGCTTTCCTCATAGCAAAGGGTTTTTGCCCCACAAGACGCACTAGAGGCCCCCCCCCTGCTGGCTACAGCACTGGCCTGTCTTCCCGTACTGTTGGCTTTCAGGGTGGCCCTGGTCACAGTCCTGTACTTTAGTGTCTGTCGGTGTTTTCTTACGAGTCTGCTGATGTCAGTATGGTTATTGCCAAGTTGACGTCCAATGACTCTGTATGACATACCTGTGTCATTCATGCCAACAATCTGCCAACGGAGTGCCTGTGACAGCCTTCCTGCGTGCCATGGTCACATGTGATGACTAAGCAGTCAATTTAATTGCCACTTTATATACCCTTACTTGCATCAATATCAAAGTGCTTTTCTCAAAACTCAAGGGTATCATGCTTCACGTTCACATGTCTTTTTGTTTGGGTGACACAGTCAGTTATTGTCATGACTATACTCGAGATCAACAGCCATTCTATGAATGAGTATCATGAAACTTGTTTTTTTAAACGGGTATATCACTGTTCATTATTTTGTCAGGGGATGCTTGATTAATTTCTAGGTCTATAGGTTTGTCAGAACCGTACCTGTCATTGTACCCTGATTGTATTGGACACTGATCAATTAGCCAATTGTTTGCCAAGCCCAAATACAATTTATTTTTAAGCCATGGTGATATGGCTGGAATGTTGCTCACTGCAAAATAAACCAAACCAACCAACAAACCTTTATGTTGTATTTGTGGATCAGATATGGAGGTGTTTTCTTTATTTAGTTGACATGATATTTATGTTGTTGTTTCAGGCTGCTGCACAGGAAGCTCAGTAAGTTGGACGTTAGGACATTTTTGAGCCCGGTCGTTTATAAGTCGGGTGACAATACACTGATGCATCTGTGGATCATGAATGTTTCTTCTCAATACAAGTATCGATCACAATCGCGCACTAAGTAAAAAGTATCGATTCTAACCTTAAATGTATTCGGGGGCACGGGTGGCCCAGTCTTCTAAGGCGCCGCGATTCGCTGTGCAGAGTTGCGTCCCTTGGGCACGCCAGAAACCTATGATTGTGGGTTCGAATCCTGGTTCGCCCCGATTATGTTTCTAGGTTTGTCAGCACCATACCCGTGCTCGTGAGTTTCACCGAAGTGGTTAATGTCTGAGACCTGCATCACTTCGGGCTTTCCTCCCACATTAAGCTGACACGCCATGATACAACTGGAATAATGTTAAAAGCGGCGTTAAACTCAACTCACTCACTCAATTAAATGTATTCTTTAATAAATGTTACACCAAACACTAATTACAAGTGAAAATGAGAACCGAAAACATACATATTTCCATCCATTGCACAATACTTGACACTGCCAACAGTAGTTTGTTAGTGTGCCAGGTATTTGGCCATCCTGTCTGTGAAAACGATGGCAAAACCATACAATGACAGTTGTATTTCAGACTTTACACAATGATGGGAGTCAAGCATTTGTGATATTGAAACTTGTTACAATCATGAAGGAATATTATTTTGGGGGCTGTGTCATTCAAACCGGACTAGAAGCAACTAGCATGAGACTACAATCATGAGGAACACACACAAGAAATACAGACAATCTTTCATTTTCATTGCAATTTACGGTATAAACATGGTCCGTATAGTATGTTGGGGCATGGTGGCCCACTCGTCTATTAACTGTCAGAGTTGCATCCCTTGGACACAACAGAAACCTGTGATCATGGGCTCGAATGCTGGTTCGCCCAAAATTTGTTTCTAGGTTGTCAGGACCATACCCTTGCCTATGGGTTTCACCCGTGGTAAACATCTGAGACTTGCATCACTTCAGGCTTTCCTCCCACATCAAGATGACACGCTGTGATATAACTAGAACACTGTTGAAAATTTACAATAAAATTCACTCACTCACTCACTCACTCACTCACTCACTCACTCACTCACTCCAGGGTTAGCAACTTACAGCTTTTGTCCACTAGTCCTTATAATGATAACATATAGCAAAACCCTTAAAATGGGCCAATATGTACTATTCCTTAGGATACCTTTACTATTGGGCAGTTTGGTAAGGACTACAGGACTAGTGCCAATTTCTAATGCTGCACTCACTCGCTCACTCACTCACTCACTCACTCACACTCACTCACTCCATGGTGTTTGTAGGAGAGAGAAATCTTCAGTTCCATGGCCACCTGGTGAGTCTTGGGAGCCACGCCTACCTGTCCGCCGCCAAGCACATCAACAACACCACTCAGCAGCTGCTCAAGTCCCATGTTGCTATACAGGTGAGGGGGGTGTGGAAGTCTGTTGCCCTTAAGGTTATTAGATAGAAGAAACATAACCTTCATTATCAATAGAAGTAACAAAATATTGTGAACTTTTTATACATTTTGATTCCAAATACAATTTGTTTGAAGAGACTAGGGTTGATAGGAAACGATTTTGAATTTATGTTGTGGTATGATCAGAGCCATCTGCAGGATCCAGAACTTGACAGACACATTCAGTTGATACAGTGTTTGAAATACCTGCCTGCCCGACAGTCCGAGACGGGTTGATTTCAACTCGGGCTGCCAGATTTTCAAATCCCCCTGCCCGACGGTCAGGTTATATTTCATATGTGAAAATATTCTAAATATTTCCCGATGATAAGCATTAATTCACATGTAAAGATGAATGATAAAATGTAACCAAAAAGAAACCCTGTTAGCTTATCCTGAGAAACATGATTATAGTGGGCAAGCAGGTTTTGGTCAGGGCTGGCAAGCATTTCAGCTAGCCAGTCCTGTGGTCTGGCTGAAATTTTGGGGAGTTTCATACCCTGGTTGATATCATGTCAGAAAATGGAAATTTATATTGTAAAATACATTGAACACACATAATGGTCATTGACATGAAAAAAACAAAAGTCATTTTCTGAAGCACTCGCTCTCTGTGTGAGGCAGACATGACTTGAATGCTATGATGTCATGCTACAATTGATGATGATAACGGACCACGCCTGGTATGCAGATTGTGGGAAAAAAACTAAAACGTTGTTTTGATATATATTGATTAAAGTTGTAATTAAATCACAGGGCAACGTGAAATCCATGCCAAGCCGAATGACATGTTTTTCAAATTTGGGACAGAAGAATGTATATATATATTTATCAAGAAAAGTCCAAACGATTCAAGGATTTTAATTCAATTCAACAACATTTTTCAACCAAACATATTGCAGCACACAGTCCTGTTTTGAGGGTTTATCAAGTTTATTGAGTATTTGGTGCCCGGACATGTAACTATTTGAAACCTCTGTTTAAAACCTACAAATCTGAAAACGCATGTTTATCACCTAATCTGACTAGAGCAGTACTATTGCCATAGTAACAAAAAAAAACTTGATGTGAGGCAGTCATATGGGATCAAAATTAAAGTTATCTGTTGTTATGGTAAGCATTGTGTTCAAATGCAAAATATATTCTATGAAAATATTTGCAGCCAAGTGTGTGCTAGGCCCTTGAGTTGACCTGATATTGTGTTAGATTCTGCTTTGTACGCCGATCTTAGCGCCAGGCTTCTAGCCACATAAGATGTCACCCTCTCATTATAGAAACCAAATGTCTAATATTAATGCTAGAATTACAGGCATCTTAAAAAATACGGGGCAGTTGGGTAGCCTAGTGGTTAAAGCGTTCGCTCGTCACACCGAAGACCTGGGTTTGATTCCCGACATGGGTACAATGTGTGAAGCCCATTTCTGGTGTCCCCCGCTGTGATATATTGCTAAAAGCGGCGTAAAACCATATTCACTCACTCACTCACTTAAAAAATACACTTGTTATGTTTTACAAAGAGTCTCTGATGTATACAAAACAATTTATTTTAAACCAAATGATACACCATTTTGAGTAGTTTGACAATGCTTGTAATCCCTTTCACTAGGCCATAGACCACAGTGGACTTCCCAGGAAGAGTTATGAAAAGTTCACCATACTTAGTGTAATGCAAGACTGGCTTTAATTGTCCCCCACATCATGCAGAGTATTGTGTTGTCTGTTTTTCTGTATAGGATGTGTCTCACAACATGAGGCTGATGACCAATGACCTGTTCCGCTTGGAAGACAAGATCAACATTATCTCCTCCTGTAACCTTCTACCTGACATCAACATAGAACTGTCGTCATAGCAACATAATTTCCTCCTGTGACCTGCTGCCTGACATCAACATAGAACTGTCGTCATAGCAACATAATTTCCTCCTGTTACCTGCTGCCTGACATCAACATAGAACTGTCGTCATAGCAACATAATATCCTCCTGTTACCTGCCTGACATCAACATGAAACTGTCATCATAGCAGCATAATCTCCTGTGACCTGCTGCCTGACATCAACATAGAAATGTCGTCATAGCAACAGTCTCCTCCTGTTATCTGCCTGACATCAGCATAGAACTGTCGTCATAGCAACATAATCTCCTCCTGTGACCTGCTGTCTGACATGAACATAGAAGTGTCGTCATAGCAACATAGTCTCCTCCTGTTACCTGCTTGACATCAGCATAGAACTGTTGTCATAGCAACATAGTCTCCTGTAACCTCCTTCCCTTACCTCAGCTGTTGTCTCAGAAGCAGTACCATCTTCTAATAAAATTCCTCCCAGATGTCAACTAATGTCACAGAAGCAAAGATGTCTTCCCCACTTTCTCCCATACAGGTATTTGTGCAATACATAGTAAAGGCAGGACTGGCCTTATTGAAGACATTCCTCCAAGAAAACTAATGGTACTGAGAAAATTCCGATGTGACTTGCACAGGAGTCCCCCTCCATCTGAGATTGTTTCGCTTCGATGCCGACTGAATCACGTGCGTGGACACCATCTGCTACAAATGTTTTCTCTACACAGATTAACTTTGAAAATTATGTTTCTATTAAGGTATTTTGTCCCTTGTTGGAAAACAAGTTGACAAGTGGAATCAAAAGCTCGATCTCCTCCTGAAGAAACATACTCACTGGTTGCATGTGTTGATTAATGTCATCTCTTTCATTGTCTTGTTTATGTAGGATTTGTAAATTTAGTGGTATCATGTTATTTATATTATTGTTCACAGCAATGAAATGAGTGCTGATTTATTTATTAATACTATCTACATTTTTATGATTAAGGGGTTTTATTGGTTAAGAATGAGCACCATTCGAATATTGTTCTTGTGTAAATAGTTTATACAATGTTAATATACAGCAACCATGTCATATATTCTACTCAAAAACAGAGCATATTTGAATTCAACAATAGTTTTATATAAAGAGCTACTCATTTGGTTACAATGATGTATCAATGTGTTGATTGTCATTGTTTGAAGACTTCATTTAGTATTACAAAGTGTGCAGTGTCACTGGGTAACAGCAGTCAAGACACAGCACTTCAATATCGTGTATCAGGTGGTGAAATGGGGTTTAACGTCGCGTCCAAGATAATTACACTTATATAGCAACATGCATGTACGTGTGTGTGTTTGTGTGGCTGCTTGTACTAGACCAGACTGATGCCAATTTATAGTGCTAACTCACTGAGATACCATGCCGCAGTTTAACATGAATATCCCACTCAATCACAGTATACTGACTCCAAGCTTACCAGTCCTTGTTTTAGCCCCTTAATGTGGAGCGCCAGACAGGGTAAAAAGTACCATCTTTTAACATCTTTTGGTATGATGTGTCCGGGGATCGAACCCTGTACCTACCGCTCTCCGGATGCACGCTCTACCACTAGACCATGGAGGCGGTCATATCGTGTATGAACTCGGCTGGAATCAGTGACAGCCTGATACCACCAACCCATGGAATCATGAGTCCGCATGAGTTGTCTGGGGATGTTATTCCACTCTGGTTGCAAGCCCAACAATGTTTGTTTGACCTACAATGTTTGAGGCTCAGTGCTATGTCATCACACACGCCTATCAATTTTGTCAGCCACATGTTCATTTGGGTTCAGACCTGGTGATCTGCATGGCCACGGAACAGGAATGTTGTTCTGTGCTAGGAAATCAGTTGTGAATCAACAGTGGTCGAACCTTGTCCTGTTGAAACATGATGTTCATGAATGGAAGGACATATGGCTGAATGATCTTGTTGCGGTAACAAACAGTTGTTAACTGCCTGGGACGTGGACAGGGGATGTCTGATGGCCCACGTCATGACGCTGTCACCATCAAATCTGTCCACCTGTTGAACACAGCTTGGCGCCAAACAATCATACGTGGCCTGTATACCCATGCTCTGGACGTCATGGGAGAAATCTTGATTTATCACTGAAAACATCAGTCCTCCTCCACTGTCGAGGCCATCCTGAAGTAAAAGTTGACGTCGGTGAAATGCCAGAACAACATGTAATGGTCTGTGAGCTCCTTCTCTCAAATAATACCTGATGGTGCGGTCAGACATTCTGCACAGACTTGCTTTAGTGGCAGATTGGACTGAGGAGCAGTTTGGCAGGTCACCAAAGTGGACAGGTCCTGGGAAGGTGTGCCCACCCTTGGTTCCAGAATGGGGCAGGTTACGTGTTGTTCCTTGTACCGGGTGATGGTGCCAAGGCGTCCTATGGTGCTCTGTGAAACATTCACGTTCACACCATGGCTGACTGAGAGCCTCCAAATGACCAATGGCAATGTTCTGTTGAGCCTTAGCAATTAAGTCCAGGCATGACTTGCAACGTTCACTGCACCTTGAGTATGTGATAAAACATGAGACCTCTTGCACGCTTATAGTGACTGATGTGCTTGTTGCACTTGCATCAAAAGTTCAGTAAGTTTCATGGGACTCTGATTTTTAATGCACTAACATTTCAGTATTCTGTCCTAAATGTGGTGTATTCCAGTATGAAAACCAACAATATTCACATTGGTATCATTGTCAATAAATGGTTTCACAATCTCTGAATCACTTACATGTCTTTTTCCAACTATGCACTCTCCTTTTTAGTAGGGGGTGGTGGGGTAGCCTAGTGGTTACAATGAGTGTATAAAGCCCATTTATGGTGTCACCCACCGTGATATTCTGAAATATTGCATAAATATGTATGTCTTTGCAGGACAAAATATAAAATACTTTTGATGAAATGAAATGTGATATTTCTATAACAAACGCTTTGTGAATCTTTTAAATTTGAGGACTTTCCAAACCACCTCCATGACCTAGTAGATAGAGTATCTGCTTGGAGAGCGGAAGGTTGGTGGTTCAAACCCTGGCCGCATCATATATAAACATGTTAAAAGATGGTACTTGTTGTTACCCTGCATGGCACTTGGCATAAGGTGATATAACAAGAACTGGTTGGGCAGGGGTATTCCTGTTAATGATATGTCTGTGGGTTAGCACTGTAAATGAGGCATTAGTCCAGCCTACACACACAAACACATGCAGGTAAAAATATTGAATGTGACATTAAACATAATTTCACTTCACCAACGCCTTGATAACCTTCCAGAGAAATTGTTACAGTTGTTTCTTTGATATTAGTCATAACAATTATATTACATAGCATGCATTTCCAGTACCCTGAGATCATATTTCTGTTCCATAGTTTTAATATAAAATATTGCATCCTTTGCTCGTAAAGATTACAATGAACTCAAAAAAGATTCACATTGTGTTCCTCAGGATAAAAAAAACAAACTATGACCTTCAGAATCAATAAAACTGATTCAATTATAACATGTATGTTACACATAACAGACGTTTCTCTGCTAATATAAATACAACATTTTCTTCAAACAAAGAAACCCCAACGTCTGGGGATTCAGAGCCTGTGCCGTGCTAAGACATTGAAACTCTTGGAAGTCCACTGTACACATGTTGCTCGACTGTTGACGTCAAGTATGTCAGTGGACAATGGTTCGTGTCTGGGACCCCTAAAAGTGAGTGAGTGAGTTGTGTTTAACGCCGCTTTTAACAGTATTCCAGTTATATTGCGGCGTGTCAGCTTAATGTGGGAGTAAAGCCCGAAATGATGCAGGTCTCAAACGTTTACCACTTCGATGAAACCCACGAGCACGGGTATGGTGCTGACAAATCTAGAAACATAATTGGGGCGAACCGGGATTCAAACCCACAAACATAGGTTTCTGGCGTGCCCAAGGGATGCCGAGCCTCAGACTACTGGGCCACCCGTGCCCCCTAAAATGGTTCGCTGACTTGGTTGATGCAGGTCATCGTATCCAAATTGCGTAGATCAACGCTCATGATGTAAATCACTGGATTGTCTCGTCAAGAGTCGATTATTTACAGACTATCTTCATATAGCTGGAATATTGCTGAGTACGGCGTTAAACAACACACAAAATTTTAAAAACAATAAATAATGGCTCCAAGGATCTTCCTCACCACATCTCTCTAACTCTCTTATCAGTACCATCATCACAGAATTTCTTTTACTCATGAGTGTCATTTGAATGTATCCCATTTACGTGATCGATGCTCACGATGTCAATCACAGAATTTTCTGGTGCAGACTCGATTATTTACAGACCCGTGGTCATTAAGCTGGAATATTGCTGAGTGGGGCGTTGAAAAACAAACAAAAATGTTTCAGTGGCCTTAAATATTGATGTCACCCTATGGGGAGTCCGAATTAGGCGTTGCCTCCAGTAACCTGTGCTTGTCGTAAGAGGCGACTTACTTGTATTGGGTGGTCAGACTCGGTGTTAATATTTGCTGGTGCCGTGGCTACTTGAAGCAAGTGTACCCAAAACACCTTTTTAATTACAATGGATATATTATAATGTGTTTATTATTCTGTTATCAAATAAATGTTTTTGTTATTATGTACCCCATAGTTTGAGTTCTCTGTGTGCTCTAAATGCATGGGTATGGTGTTATACGCTTCGCGGCGGAGGACTGTAGGAATGGGCTTCATACGAAATATTAGCCAGATGTAAGGAATCGAACTTGACCGTTTCGGCGTGACGTGCACTTGGCTACCTTACTGCTTTTATGGACATATTTCCGTCACCATAAAATAATCTGTCGAGACAGGACTTTGACTAATCAGCATTTGTAATACAAGGCGATATCAATTGTGCCGAATATACTATGATTCACAATAATACTTCTTTGAATCTTGTTTCTATTTACATTTGTTACCCTCTGTTATTTTATTCCTAATACAGGCCTCTGTAAAACTCAGACTCACTTTCGGCCCCACAACAAGTAAAACGTATATTTCGCCTGGATGTCAAAGCAATGACGCAATGTAGTCCAAAGCAGATATTCCACTGTACTACATAGTACACATTGAATGTCAAAAGCCCCTTGCATTAAAAGCGTGATGCGGATGTGACAGGGTAATTCTCTCAAATGTTGGAGGAATTTCAAAGCTTTTTGCACATGGGTTGTGGTGTTCTCAGCATCCCAGTTAGTGGTTCTGCGCTGGCCCTTACGCTAGACGAGCTAGCGACGACACCAAATGCATGGTGACAAATGGTGATCAATAATAAATATATGTTTGTTGTTTAACACCGCACTCAGCAGTTTTCTAGCCATATGAGACTTGCCGCCAGTCTATGTAACCCATCTGCCCCCTGGGTTCACGCCGACTGGCACTTTCTTTTGTTTTTACTGGGACTTCTTGGGTGTACCAAGTTGTAGAGAATATCCCCCTTAAATATAAAGGCTGTACAGAATGATAAGCCCATGGATGTATAGCAATTCTATCCTTATTAGAGAGCAAATCATTATATGAAGCGGCGCATCACAACAGGAACTGAAACATGAAACCAACTCATTATATGAAGTGGCGCGCCACAACGGGAGCTGAAACATGAAACCAACCCATTATATGACGTGGCGCGCCACAACTGTAGCTGAAACATTAGAGACCAGCTCATTATATCAAGTGGTGCTCACAACTGGACCTGAAACATTAGAGACCAACTAATATGCAGTGGTGCTCACAACTGGACCTGAAACATTAGAGACCAAATAATAAGAAGTGGTACTCACAACTGGACCTGAAACATTAGAGACTAATTAATATGAATTTGTTGCTCACAACTGGACCTGAAACATTAGAGACCAACTTATTATATGAATTGGTGCTTACAACTGGATGATGAAACATTGGAGACCAACTCATAATATGAAGTGTTTGTTTGTTTGTTTGTTGTTTAACTCAGCAATATTCCAGCTATATGACGGCGGTCTGTAAATAATCGAGTCTGGACCAGACAATCCAGTGACTGACATCATGACTATCGATCCACGCAATTGGGATCGATGACATTCATCAACCAGGTCATCGAGCCTGACCAGTTGATGCCGTTAGCCGCCTCTTACGACAAGCATAGTCGCCTTTTATTGCAAGTATGGGTTGCTGAACACCTATTCTACCCCGGATCTTCACGGATGTTATGAAGTGGTGCGTCACAACTGGAGAAGAAACATTAGAGATCAACTCATTTTACCAGGAAGTGGCGCTTCTCAAATTGAGATGAAACATTGAAAGTCCAACTCATTAAAATAGGATTTTGCGCGTCTGAACTTGATCTTAAACATTAAAAGACATAAACATGACTAAATCATCGTTACTGGAGGTTGTACATTTCAATATAGACTATGGAGTCTTGAGTTGGTTTTCACAATGATCCAAGTTACTTGCCGGAACGGGTACACACCACAGAGGCCCATAGCTCCAAATCTTTGCGCTGACTATTGTGCTAAATTAATGGTCAAAAGGAGACAGCGTATCACTTCATTTTAACCTGAAGCTTAGAGCTTTTTAATATCTATCAGTATATGTGCTCTAGGGATCAGACGTCCAGACGACCTCAGCTGACACTGCAACTGCCTTTCTACGGTAACTGGGGTATCATTGGGTGTGGACAGCACCCGCAACTCATTCTTACACTTCACCATGAATGCGGAAGGTTATACTTTCCCTACTACTCGGAACATTCGGACCAGCAAAATACACCCCTATATCTACTGACCACATTCTTCACAGAGAAAGTCCAGCATAGCATGGCTTTCTCAGAATGGAGCCCACATGACCACGGACAGTTGCAATGTGTAACCCATGTCCAAGCACCTTGGTCGTCTAGGTATAACGTACAATTGTAGAAGGACATGTTTACATTCAGTCAAAGACATGGAGTAAACAGAAACTATTTGCAGTTAAAGTAGCACCTAGTTTACACCATAATATTTTAAAAAAATGATTGTTTCTGGAAAAATAATCTGCTTCGTCTATGTGATGCGTATCAATTGGACATAAATCATTAAAAAAAAACCAGCTCATACCAGTAGGAGGTGGCGAGTCACAACTGGATCTGAGAACAACTAATTATATGAAGTGGTGCTCACTACTGGAGCTGAAATATTAGAGACCAACTCATTACATGAAGTGGTGCTCACTACTGGAGCTGAAACATTAGAGACCAACTCATTACATGAAGTGGTGCTCACAACTGGAGACGAAACATTAGAGACCAATTAATATGAATTGATGCTCACAACTGGGCCTGAAACATTGGAGACCAACTCATTATTAGAAGTGTTGCTCACAACTGGAGATGAAACATTACAGGCCAACTCATTATATGAAGTGGTGCTCACAACTGGACCTGAAACATTAGAGACTTATTAATATGAATTTGTTGCTCACAACTGGACCTGAAACATTAGAGAGCAACTAATATGAATTGGTGCTCACAACTGGAGATGAAACATTGGAGACCAACTCATATGAATTGGTGCTCACAACTGGACCTGAAACATTAGAGACCAACTAATATGAAGGAGTGCTCACAGCTAGACCTGAAACATTAGAGAGCAACTAATATGAATTGGTGCTCACAACTGGAGATGAAACATTGGAGAACAACTCATATGAATTGGTGCTCACAACTGGAGATGAAACATCGGAGACCAACTAATATGA